CCCCCCCCCCCCCCCAAAAAAAAAAAAATCATCGGTGAACGAAACTGCGGCAGCTACAACCACTGTACGAGTACGCGGTTCTTACAGCTGACAATGACGATGATGATGAGCTCGTCGAATCTCGATGGCACAAACTGGCGGATCAGAAGAACCGTAGTTCGACTCCTCCTGTCTAGGTTTGGACAACCTGGCAGTATCGCAGCCCTGATGCTTACTTCGGGTGGCATGGCAGCTGGGGACCAAAAGGCTGGTGGAGCTGGACGATTGTTTAACGTGATTCAAGCTGAAACCGCACTTGTTAGCACTAGTTCTTCGTACACCCTGTTAGCGGTGCATCGGACGAGCTACCAGGAGCTCTAGATAGAAGAGGGTAGCCCACTATTACCCCCTCTTTAGTGACCTTGAACTTGCGCAGACCACTCCTGTTTCGGCACACGCATGTTGCTGTTTCCGGACTCTGTGTTACCCAGCCGCTGCTCTGTGTGCCATCCGATTCCACTTCTGTCCCTTTCAGAATCGGCGTGCACCGTCACTATATCCTTGTAGACATTGAATACCACTGCCCAGTTGAATACCCACGTTACAGGCACCATTCCTCAGAGATGAACACACTGAATCACGCTACGAAAACAGAAACGATGAAGGCTAGGAAGGGCCCTTCGATGAAACGATGAAAGTAATTCGACTGCCGAGGTGTGAATTACAGGACTGCTTCAAAGTCAAAGGCTTCAGTGACTTCCGGAGATTTCTCCAAGACCAAACCAAATACTAGTTGCATCGACGTAACATTGTTCAAGGCGGGTAGCGGGGTGAGTCACGTTGCCCTCGAAAGAAAAACAGTAATTACGGATACGCAAGGACCTTGAAGACGGACTACCAAGCTCTGTCTCACACAGAGAGAGCAAATCGGGAATGTTGGTAACCATAAATCTGACATGACGCACAACGCAAGACGCAATCGCGCACGCGGCGTGTGCACGTATCACACAACTGATGGCGATCTATCTATCACAAACTCGAGGACAACAGCTAAGAAACCGTGAAAACCGACCTGTCAAAAAGTAACATACCACCCGCATCAGCCTAAACAAATGACCATGGGTGAATTATGACGGTCTTGAATTCAAGGAACTGGCGGATGGGTAGAGAATACGTTTGAAGACTGCGACTTACCATGAAGAAAGCCTGCCGGGGCCTGCCAAAGATAATCCTGGTTTGTAGCTCTCCACAGATTCATATTCCGTTTCTTCAATGCAAAAAAAGCAAAGTTGAAGTGGAACGACTACCAATCTATACAGACCGTTAAATCTATGTATTTTGAGTTCAAAGCGATTCGTGTTGAGAGTTTAAACTGTTCGGAGGACAGCTGTTGTAGGGCAGAGGAGGATACAATAGAACGTTATCTCAAAGTAACACACTACTCATTTGGTTGCTGAACATTCTTATGCCAAGATCGAAGCAGTCACAACGAACCGATTCGATGAGCGTGAGATGACATAACACCATATTCCGACACGGATCACACGTGAAACGCCATGATGGTGCTGGAATTCGCCTCTGTGTGTGCGCGTGTGTGTCGGTTGAGGCTACCCGAACGTCAGCATTTTTGGCGCATACAAGTGACCTAGACGAGTTTGTGTGCCTAGTCTATGCTGAATAAATAAACAATGACGGAGTTTGACACACTCTGGCTAGTTGTAAAATTACATACCAGTCGGTACGAACGAAAATTCTCGAAGGCATGCGTCCCAGGGCATGTGGTGGCGGTGGTGGGGTGCTGTTGAGTCACATAACAGCGAAACTAGAACGTTACGTGTTACCTAACAGAGCGAAGTGATCGGGTTGCATTTTCACGACACACCATCCCCTCGAGCGAGAAGAAATCTTCACGAATGTCTCATCGAGGTATAGAGGGCAATTGAAACGAATCGTCAATGGAACCAGTCGAGGGGTTGGTTTAGAATCACGGACTTTCTGGTCAGTATGTGAACACAACACTAGAACATAACTAGTCGCAATCAGAAGCCCCCCTAGAGCGACAAACTTTTGTGGACAAATCGACTGAGTAGTTCCCAGTTACCTAAAAAAACCGTTCGGCTGTAACACCAATTCGGTGCCTAGCTGCCATGCCACTCGAATGAAGCACGAGGGGTGAGCTGACCAAGCCCAGACAGGAGAAGTCGATATATAAAAGTCTCATTTGAACTATAGAGCTTCCGGTTGGTAAATTCGCGCTCGGAGGAGAGATGGCCCAAGTGGTTAGAGCGCGAATTTACCAACCGGAAGGTCCGTGGCTCGAATCCGACCTCCGCCACTCGACTTCCTCTGTCTAGGCTTGGGCAACCTGGCAGTATCCCAGCCCTCATGCTTCCTTCGGGTGGCATGGCAGCTAGGCACCGTGAGGGTGCTTGCTACAGCTGGACGCTTTCTTTCAAATTCGTGCTCTGACCCATCTCCCCCATGTGAGTCTCTTTCGCCAATTTCATGCAATTCGGTTTCAAGCAGAACAGGAACAGTGGCTACCTGATGAGCCCGAAACCGGTCGTGGACTGTCGAAGAATTTTCAGCAACCTTATGAGTAGTGCATTATGATTAAGTTGTTTATCATTCTATCGCTCGCAAGAGTTGTTAGGTTACACATTTGCCGTAGATTTAAAACCGTAAAAATCCTCTCTGTAAGAAGATAATTCAGAGAAACGTTCAAGAACTTCCTAAGGGCTGGGTTTGACTAATCTGAATAGTTTCACGTGACATGTTCTTAATAAGGAGGGAAATCACGTGAGAGGGATATTTCCAGGAGTGTGCGTAGCATCCATTCACTGGCTAACTCCAGTTTTCCCAACTTAGCTTTTTTATTTGTGTTACTATGCGGCACAACCATACAAGCCAAAAAGTTGGTTGAAAGATCAATCTATACTGAGGAACGATTTCACTCTGAAAGAGCTGCGCCTATTCACATTAGCAAGGTTCGTGATAATTCGATAAACAAATGGATCAGATCGTGCGCTTTCCTAAATCAGCTGACGCACTCTCTGATCTAAGTAGGTGTCCAAACCATGGCGGTATTCACGTCATATAAAAACTCCGGTACACATAAATCTCCGCGTTTTGATGACGGCAATCGAGAATGAGGTAATAACTAGGTCAAGTCAATCGTTGACAAGAGTCTGTAACCAGCGTATCGCTTCCATACGCGCAGAACAACCGATTATGCCACCACGAGATACCCTCAGGTCACAACCCGTAGTTCGCCGACTTTCTACAATGTAGGGATTGCCTTAATCCAAGTTGCGGACCGGCGTGAACGCTTTTCAGCTAGCCTTGTCGTCATCCATACACTTTACCTGCTTCAGTCGTGACAGACTCTCCAGGTAGACGAAGCCGTCCCATCAAACTGTTTCAGACTGACAAATTATGCATCTGAAATGTCCTAATAGAATAGATTTCAACGAATTTTAGTTGTATAGACGTAATATACCACTCATATACTACTGTCTTCCGATCTTTGTTACCTAATTCGCCCACATGGTTGTTCAGAGTCGCATTCATACATCTGATCTGGTTGTATAGGGCGATTTACGTTTAGTTTACGTCAAGGCCCAAGTAGACGGCCCGCCAGAGATAGTATTCAACAGACAGCAGAATACCGGAGAATACCACTGCTGGTTGAGTACCACTGTACGCACACTGTACGATCGGAGTATACATACGGGACTCAGTGATTGATATTGACCATCATGTGCGTTGCGGCGCTTACATCACTTTAGATGGAATACGTAAGACTTGAATACACACTTCCGATCCTGAATTGGTGATTAGGACGGGAACAAAGCTCAGCACTCGCCGCCCTATGTGACATCAGTTGTGTGTGTGCCGGAAAGCAAAAATTACCATTGTCATCACTGTCGTACGTCAAAATAAGCGGTCCGGGGACAGGCGGATGTATGCAAAACTGTACAAGTTCATACAAACGTCTCCGTGTGAGCAGCATTCGGGCAGGTGTGTGAGAGGGGGCGAGATGGCTCAATTGGTTAGAGCGCGAATCTACTGACCACAAGGTTCGAACCGTGGTTCGAGCCCGACCTCTGCCTTTCGACCTCCCCTGTCTAAACTTGGGCAACCTGGCAGTATCCCAGCCTTCGTGCAACCTTCAGGTGGCACGGCAGTTAGGCACCGAAAGGGTGCTACATCTGAACGATTCCGAACAGAACCCGAGGCCACTCGCTAATCGATAGAGAGGACTCAGCAATTCACACAACAGTTTCAAGGTTAAACGGCCTCATTAAATAGCGGCAACGAATGATGTACCGCTATGTGTACTGGACTAGGTGTAATTTCCTGACCACTGATTGCGTCACACGATACTAACCATCAGATAATCCGTGAACGCAATGCGGTTTGTGTGCGTTCGTCGTACTGAACACAGATCGATTCATTGTGCAGTGGGTTTAAGCTGAGAGGCTGTGTAAAATCAAGCTGCCTAATTATGAATCGCTGTTCACATTCTCAGCGGTCACGTCAGAGGAATTTGGCTGTACAAACCGTGCATGTGATATCAGTTTATTCTTGTTTTTCTCTTTTTGGACAACCAGCTAAAACGCATGACCTGCGACATGTGAAAGAAAATACTCACAACGCATGAACGCAGAGTTATTTGGAGCATACAACGGTGTGATGTGAGCCGTACGGAGTAACCCAATGGGGTACTTAAGAGTGCCTTAAACGGGGTCATACCAAGGGACGTTAGTTTCAAAATACAAGTGGCCGTGGTAGCAAGTGCCCCCCAACAGTAGAAAGTCCACAACACCGCCCTTGGTCAGCCACAAGTTGTCATGGAAGACCCGACCGGATTTCAGCTGGACTAACAGACCAGAATACATCTCAATCAAATGTGTTGCACAAAGACCGCCTCACCATTCGGGTGGAACAATTTCCAAAGCGTCTCACTACCCTTCTTCATGCGACGCCAACTATACTTGGACACAGTTTACAACAACCATGCAACTTGCATACTTGTGCTGTTTATCAAAAATGCGGATTCGACGGGTCACGTGCCCAACATCGTTCAGCACGATGCCGGTCATGATCTGCATGTATTGTGGCTTATTGCAAAGGATAGGCGAATCGTAGTTATTTTGAGTATGTGTGTGTGTGTGTGTGTAATCAACCCGAGAAAGGCAGAGTAGTTAGTTCTATTCATGCCTTGCAGACTCTGTAGTAGGTGCCCACCTGTTGTCAGTGTCTGTTTCTTGCTCAAGTTTGGTTGCAAAGCCTATGCGGTATGAATTGTTCTCCTGTGACCATATCGTTTCACCAGTGTGGAAAGCACTCAGCTGTAGCACCCTTTCGGTGCCTAACTGTCATGCGACCCGAAGGTTGCACGAGGGCTGGGATACTGTCAGGTTACCCAAGCCTAGACAGGGGAAGTCGAGATGCGGCAGAGGTCGGGTTGGAACCACGGATCTTGTGGTCAGTAAATTCGCGCTCTAACCACTTGGGCCATCTCGCCCGGTCAGTAAGCTCGCGCCTTAAACATTGACCTAACAAGAGCTCAGCGTGGAAAGCGAAGATGATGATGACATTAACAGGTCCTCTGTTTACATCACAAGAGGAATGTGGGTCGACTCGTCTATTCGGACGGGTCGCACACTAAAATTATGCCCCGCGTACACTCCACGGGATTACTTTTTGTGGTAAAAATGCACGAGTGTTTTGCTTCTACTGTTCACGCTAAGAAGAAGTGATAGATGATGGGGGGTAATGAGCCGAAAACTGTTCTAGAGGCCCGATTTTCCAGGTAGTCAAGGTAGCGGACAATCACCACGGGAACCATCGCCAAAATCGGTTGCAAAACCATACTTCAAGCTGTCGCGGTCCCATTCGTCCGTGACGCGGGAGATGACAGGAAGGATATGCGCGGTGTGTCGCACAGTCCGAACTGGGTGGTGATCGCATGGCCGTGGTATAGACACGTTTTGTTGTAGAGTATAGAGAAGACAGAATTGGACGTCTGTGTCACTAATCATGGATGTGTCTGGACTCAACGTCCTCCCAAGGGTCGCCGGCTATCCGCAGATACACGTTTATACGTCGCGAATTCACCAAACAGGAACTAGTCACTAACAAGACGCTTTGGACAGCAAAAGCGATAGGTGCCAACAGAATACATACAAGCAAAGTAGGGGCGAAGAATCTTTCGGAGTTCGTTCTAGGGGTTGTTTTTTCTTCAAGTAATACATCACTAGTTTGACCCAGGAATGTCACCAACCGCGCGGTCAAGCGTGCGGTCTCAACGTGCCGACGTGTTACTCGGAGAACCCAAAATGCGACAGAGTGTTCACGTTGGGGCCTCACCGTCACAGTTTGACCGCCTATCAACTGTTATCAGCTCACCGAGTCTTCATTGTTGATAGTCGTTTAGCTGCAACATTCTTTCGGTACCTAGTTACCTAGCCACCACAAGGAGGGCCGCGGGGTTGGGTTGGGTTCGAACCACGGACTTCCCGGTCAGTAAGTTCTTGCCTTAAGGACTAACCCCTACGATGGACGGAAAACAGTTCACGCCCACACCTAGGCACATCAATCTTAAGTCATCACGGGTATGAAGTAACTTCAGGATCATATATTTAGCAATCAATGCCTGCTCAAGGCCAGAGATCGAGATGGCTCAGTGCCGGAACGTCCGTGGTTCGGACCCAGCACCGGTATCTCAACTGCTCTTGTCTAGGCTTGGGAAACCTGACAGTAGCTCGACCCTTGTGCTTTCTTAAAATGATATGACAGCTAGACACCGAAAGACTGCAACAGCTGAAAGGCTGTTATTACTACTACCATTATTATTATTAATATTACTAATGCTCAGTGCCAACTGGTTGGGGTACAGACCCACCAACAGTTGATTTATTCATTAGTGTAACTAACTGGTGACCCCGAATACCTGCGTAAAAAGTCTCCCAGAAGAAAACAAGAAAGCGCGCATGTCCTAAAAACGTTTGTAAGAACCGACTGGAGAGTCACGAATACCAGTCAGAAGATCGACAGCACAAAAACGCATTAGCGACTTCCGTACTCGGTGCAATCCTCACTGATCAAGTGATAGGTTACCATTGAAAAGTACATTACAAATATCGAAACAGAGCTACGGTGAGCACAACTCACGACGCTCAAAAACACATATGTATGGAGGACTCGTCAGGAAGCAGGTTCGCCATCGTTGGCAGTGTGTCTGTCGACACTCTCAGAGGGAACGACACTACGAGAAAAGAATGTCTTGAATCTGGCGAGAAATGCTTCGTCCTACACGAGAGTTGATCCACCAACGTCTGTGTCAGGATGATCGCATCAGAGAAGGTGAGACCAGGAGAACAGAGTGATCACATTGACTGTCACCAACCCTATCAAATACAACTGGGGTGAAAGCACAAAAGAAGACGCCGGCGAAATTGAGAAAGTACAAACAGTGCGAGTGTCACTGGAAGCACTCGGTGAAATAATTCCCCGAAGTGGGACCACCACTGGGAATGGTCTCCGTTGGGGGGGAACTGTATAAAAACTGTGTAACCTGACAGGACTGTCCTTGACAAACTAATCGGTGTCTCCTGATTGTAGCGTCGACCAAGGCCCTCGCATGTTATGACTTTGTAATCAAAGTGAACACCTTGGTTACTCGTTGACCTGGATAGGCTCTGTTGAGATTTGTTCAAACTAGATTCGTCGGAATCTATGGTCACTACCGAACAAAGCCTCAATCTTGAAAGGACAGCAAACGGTTACAGAGGCCGACAAAATCGTACATCATCCCAGTAAATTTCACCGTAAACGTAGTCGAAGCTTCAGCGTTCGTTTCCCCAGTAAGTTCAGACACTTACAACGTCACATTCTTGATTAAATAAACATAAATCGTTCAGCTGTAACACCCTTCCGGTGCCTAGCTGCCATGGCACCCGAAGGAAGCACGAGGGCTGTGATACTGTCAGGTTGCCCAAGCCTAGACAGGGGAAGTCGAGAGGCAGAGGTCGGGTTCGAACCTCAGACATTCCGGTCAGTAAATTCGCGCTCAAACAGCTTTAACCATCTGTGATGCCACATTCCGCAAAATAAGACCTTTACTTAGGGACGATCTAGGTGAAAGGATGAGCGCCCTGGAGTGCACAGTCGTTTATTGACCAGCACAAACTAAGCAGTTACAAGCCATTAGACGCGAAAGTAAAAGGAACTTAGTTGCAAAAGGTTTTTTTCAAGAGTGAACATTCCCAAGCGTCTTCTTGAACTTTCCTGAACAAGCACTGTAAATCGGTTCAATAATTTCCGAACAAATTGTCCATACGATGCACGGTTGACGGTTTGACACCGCACCGGACTGCACACACTACCCGCATGTTTCACCAGTAGTATACAATGTTTCACAGTCAAACAACGACAAGCTAGTGAAAATGCACCGAAAGTCCCAATTCCATCCGCACTCGAGACATCATTCACACAAACCAGTAACCGGTACAAGGTGTTACTAAGATGAGCAAGTATCATTGATGGATGAGACCAGCTCATCTTGTTTTATCTCAAACGTCGAAGTTGTAAGGAATATGTCTAGCGGCTACCTGTTTCCCAGTAGACGCCATCCCCAGGGAGGAACCGGAAGTTAGCAGGCCGTGGTTTCGAAGTTCTCGCAAGAACTTTAGCCCGGCTAGTTCAGCCAGGTTAAACAGACCTTGAATAGGCGAGAATGGCTAAGTGGTTACAGCGCGAATTTACTGACCGGAAGATCCGTGGTTCGAACCCGACATCTGCCTCTCGACTTCTCCTGTCTAGGATTGGGCAACCTACCCCTCGTGTCTCCTTCGAGGTAGTTGGGCACGGAAAGGGCGCTACGGCTGAAGGATTTTCAAATAGATGGCATACACTAATCATAATGTTTCTGGAAACTCTTCGAACACCGTATCAACATGACGCGGTCTGGTGATGAAACCACTATAAACGAGATTCAGCTGGATTCAGTTGAGTCTCCTGTCCAAACTAAGTTCGTGTGCAAGTGAGAGAATTAGTTGAGGTTCGAAATGGCTTGGAAGTGATGCACGGCACTCGTAACTGTCATGTGTCTTGTAATTATGTGGATGTTTCTTGCATATTTTATAAGTGGTGAGGTCTGTAGTCCTTCTTGAGGAACAGACTCTCCAGAAGCAGTGTCATACAGAAACCTGAAGAGGAAAAGTTTCCTGTAAACTCTTCCGGGAAGTAGCCATCTTCGGAGATGTCTATCTCGCTCTCCCTACATCTGAAGGATTGCCATAGTGAACTGTGGATGAGTCTCATGTTTCCACGGAAACCTATGGCGCCGAAGTCCTTGGGTCCTCTTGTTTGATGTGTCCGATTGAAGTAGCCGTGTGAAAACCTGAGACGTAACTGAAGCGTATCACCAACGACGGCCTTGAGAGAGGGTTCGAGATAGCACAGTGGTTAGGGCTCAAAAAAATCGTTCAGCTGTAGCACCCTTTCGATGCCTAACTGACATGCCGCCCAAAGGAAGCAGGAGGGCTGGGATACTGCCAGGTTTCCCAAGCCTAGACAGGGGAAGTCGAGAGTGAGAGGTCCGGTTTGAACCACGGACATTTTGGCCAGGAAATTCGCGCTCTAACCGAAAGGTCCGACGTCCGAACCCTACCTCGGCATCTCGACCGCTCCTGTCCGGGCTGCCCGGGCCAACTCAGCCCTCGTGCTTCTCTCGGGTAGTACGGCACCTAGGCAGCGAACGGTCAGATTTCTATTCCATTATTCTACGCGCTAAAAGTGGTACTGCGAAGGCCCACATAACCAACTACAAAGGAGGTCAGGTGATTTCCCGACAGTGAGACACAAAAAGCCGTTACCAACGAACTCTGTACCTACAGTAGTTTTGGGGTTAGACCCCAATACGTGGAGATTGAAGTACACGGTGTGTGTGCATTCTTGCAATCTTGTATCAGCAGAATCCCCACCACCCTCATACGCCAAGACAGAACTCGAGATACTAACCGGAAGGTTCGTGATCCGAACCCCGCGTCTGCATCTCGACAAAGATAAAGCGTTCAGCTGTAGCACCCTTCCGGTGCCTAGCTGCCATGCCACCCGAAGGAAGCACGAGGGCTGGGATACTGCCAGGTTGCCCAAGCCTAGACAGGGGAAGTCGAGATGCGGCAGAGGTCGGGTTCGAACCACGGACCTTCCGGTCAGTAACGTCGCGCTCTAATCACTTGGGCCGTCTCGCCCAGACAGAAGGCAATTCAAGCAGATGTGATTTACTGTTAACATTTATGAGTCATTTCACAAAAAAGTCTTAAAAAAAGGTGACCACATCCTATGAATTCGAGCAAGTAATATTCGATTTTCCGACGGAAGGAACCCTCAAACAACCGGAGCTAACCAAAGCATTTTTCGGATAGCCACCAAGCCCCTAACGGGCTACACTAAATGCCTGCGCGATGATGTTGTAACCAAAGGGAAACGCGAGACCGTACAACCACTCACCATTCTGATCGCTATCGCTGACACCAGCAGACAGAGGTGATGACTTCGGTGTTGAGCCACCGCAAGGAAAACCCGTCGGAGGGATTTGCAAAGACAGAGCTGGCTGTGACGACCCGTTACGATTTGGAACGACAGTGGCTTGGGCCTTGATTTCCGGGATGGATTGTCTGGGCGGGATGGAAATGGTGATGGATGATTCTTGTTGTACCGACGATACGCCTCGACGCTGCTGGGGTTGTGCTGATGTTTGTAGGGTGTCTGTTTGCGTGCTCGGCTGGAACACATTCCGCCGGGCTTCCAAAGCACCATTAGTTTTCCCAGGTAGCTTGGAAGTTACCCTGAAGAGTGCATGTCCAAAAAAGCAATACAAAATTAAAATTAAAATAGCTCTAGAGAGAGAAAATCAGTTTGAAAAATTCGAGGTAGAACATTGGACGTTCTGGCCGACGGACCATTCGAACAACCGACGTTACAGATGAATACACGAGTGTTGAAATGCACTCATTTCCCGCCCTCGTTATTTGGGGAGCTTGAACAATCTCTGAGCTCTGGGGGGGGCAGCACGATGATTTGTAAACAGCCTACATTCGAACACCGGTGAACTGATTTGGCCACAGACTGCGCGTATTCCTCTAAGGTACATCAACAAAGTAATGGCAATTTTTGTTACGGCCCTAGGAGGGAATCATCGGATCGTCCGCGCTTTCCGCTTCAGCTCCATTCCCAGTGAATCGAACAAGATGCTTTTTCTCGGCAGGGATACAACACCAAAAGTGCAAAGTCACAACCATATTGCTCCTCGAAAGAACTGGTGTGCAAAACACAAAAATGGAAAAAGAGTGAGAAAAATCACCTCACGTGGGTCTTGGATGACGTATTTCAATCATTTACCTACCCCCTCCCCACGAACGCCTGGATGGCAGTTTGACTGGTGTTTCTCCAGCCTTGACACTAAATCATGTGTAATGTCACGGACGGTTGTCGGGTCTTCATTCGGGGTTGGGATCAGAACCGGACGTTGTGTTGTCACATTCGTGAGCAGGTGTGCTTAGCCGCGATCGCTCACACGAAACAGGGGAGTCGAATTAGGTGGCGGCACATGAAAACTAATCGACAATCGGATGCACAAAGTCCATGATTCAATGAAATCCGCTGAGTAAGGATCGGTTCGTTCGCCCTTCGGATGGAGGTCAGCTATGCACGGATGCGGATGAGTCTAGTCTCGTCTAATCCTTGAAAGACATCGTAACTGACTGAACAACAGTATTCCACAAGCAGCCACCAATTGGTAGCTTGAAATCAGAGTCTAATCAATCCCCATAGAAAGACAACCAATGGTTCGTCAACCCGGCTGAAGCACTCTGCAGCATAAAAGACTTTATTTACCACAAGGAGACAGTGCATCGGACTTAGTACAGACTGCGTATGTAGCCAGGAGTGCTTCGAGAGGAACTGATAGCGGCCACACCCTCCGGTGGAACATTTTATCCATGCAGGCTCAAGCAGGTGATGACCTAACACTGGACTTAGTGCTCATAACTCAATATGGTCATCATCATTGTTAGCTGTAAGAACCGTGTACTCGTCGTACACTGGTTGTAGCTGCCGCAGTTTCGTTCACCGATGATTAGGGAAGGAGGGAGTAGGTAGCTGCGCATTGCAAGNACAGAGCTGGCTGTGACGACCCGTTACGATTTGGAACGACAGTGGCTTGGGCCTTGATTTCCGGGATGGATTGTCTGGGCGGGATGGAAATGGTGATGGATGATTCTTGTTGTACCGACGATACGCCTCGACGCTGCTGGGGTTGTGATGGTGATGGTTCTTGTTGTACCGACGATACGCCACGACGCTGCTGGGGTTGTGCTGATGTTTGTAGGGTGTCTGTTTGCGTGCTCGGCTGGCTGGCATTCCGCCGGGCTTCCCAAGCACCATTAGTTTTCCCAGGTAGCTTGGAAGTTACCCTGAAGAGTGCATGTCCAAAAAAGCAATACAAAATTAAAATTAAAATAGCTCTAGAGAGAGAAAATCAGTTTGAAAAATTCGAGGTAGAACATTGGACGTTCTGGCCGACGGACCATTCGAACAACCGACGTTACAGATGAATACACGAGTGTTGAAATGCACTCATTTCCCGCCCTCGTTATTTGGGGAGCTTGAACAATCTCTGAGCTCTGGGGGGGGCAGCACGATGATTTGTAAACAGCCTACATTCGAACACCGGTGAACTGATTTGGCCACAGACTGCGCGTATTCCTCTAAGGTACATCAACAAAGTAATGACAATTTTTATTACGGCCCTAGGAGGGAATCATCGGATCGTCCGCGCTTTTCGCTTCAGCTCCATTCCCAGTGAATCGAACAAGATGCTTTTTCTCGGCAGGGATACAACACCAAAAGTGCAAAGTCACAACCATATTGCTCCTCGAAAGAACTGGTGTGCAAAACACAAAAATGGAAAAAGAGTGAGAAAAATCACCTCACGTGGGTCTTGGATGACGTATTTCAATCATTTACCTACCCCCTCCCCACGAACGCCTGGATGGCAGTTTGACTGGTGTTTCTCCAGCCTTGACACTAAATCATGTGTAATGTCACGGACGGTTGTCGGGTCTTCATTCGGGGTTGGGATCAGAACCGGACGTTGTGTTGTCACATTCGTGAGCAGGTGTGCTTAGCCGCGATCGCTCACACGAAACAGGGGAGTCGAATTAGGTGGCGGCACATGAAAACTAATCGACAATCGGATGCACAAAGTCCATGATTCAATGAAATCCGCTGAGTAAGGATCGGTTCGTTCGCCCTTCGGATGGAGGTCAGCTATGCACGGATGCGGATGAGTCTAGTCTCGTCTAATCCTTGAAAGACATCGTAACTGACTGAACAACAGTATTCCACGGGCAGCCACCAATTGGTAGCTTGAAATCAGAGTCAGCTTGTTCAAGAATCAGCTAAGTGCGAGTCTGAGACACTATCAAGATGACATTGGCCACCAAGTAGGCGGATCACCGGCCAACAGATTTCGGAACAAGTTCACGCGATGCTTCGAAATGAAGCTTGAGAAACTGTGACGTGTGCGTGTGTGTGAGGCCTAAACTGATACAGGTTTCTGGGCGAGTAGACAACACGATGAAGATGTCAATACGTACCTGACGGGCTTCGCTGGACCATTTTGCGTTGCTGGCTGGCTTGTGTGGCCACTTTCGAAAATAGCAATCGACTTTTGAAGTTCGGTTGATACCTTGAATTTAGAAAATGCTGTGGGCTGGGGGGTGGATAAGAGGTTGTTAGGCAGGGTCATGGTAACATCTGTTAATCATTACGACACATCAAATAGGTGTCTGAGAACGCTAAAATTAGCCATTTTAGTGATCAGAAAGAGGAAGGAATCGGATCACGCGTCATACAACATACAACGTGGCTTCCAGATAGCTCATAAGGTGAGAAAAATTTCGAGCGGAACAACACGTGATTAGCGCTAGAAGCTCCAGTAACTTCGATCTCGTCCACCTCCATATTAAAAACGTTGTCGGGAGCGCTGAAAGTACAGTACACCGCACAAAACGTTTCGGTAAAAACGTTCTGAATCGAAGGTCCGGAACATCCATGGCAAATGGATTGGGTTCACCGATCACAGCATAATCGAGTGCTCCATCGCCATCTTGTTGAATGGTTCACAAATTTGTAATGTCCCGTTTTTCTATGAGGTCAAAGCTTTCGAAGAAGCATACTGAGCAATCGAGTGCGTCTCCCCGAATGGACAAGGTGTATCTATCTAGACAAGCGGGAAACTTATCGAAAAAGCACGAGAACTGTCTTGTCTACGTTGTAAATTTTTAGGATGCTATGATAAACTCCAGCAGTTTCTCTACAAACATTTTCATTTGCACAGGAATTTGGTTTTAGATGGGAGATTCAACTGGCAGATGAGGTGAATGCACGAATCTGCAAGGGTCGGGCCGCATTTGCTAACTTGCTAAGGATTCACTGACACCAACGAACACGAGCTGTGGTTCTGAAACAACGATTGTCGAACACCTGAAGACGTCTCAGTTCCGCGGCTCGAAGCAACATCAGAGAACACCGGTGCTTCACTGCTGTGCAAACAAGCAGAATCGGGTCAATAAAGCCTGAGAGTTGAGATGATCTACAAACATCCGGGGTGCCCGCATCTCCAACACGTCAGGTCAGACCATTTGGATAGAAACTGACAGGATGAATACCATTGACATCGGTTAGGCGTTCAGTGTCTCAAGGCAAACACACAGACAGTCAAGTACAAAAATGGAAAAAGAGTGAGAAAAATCACCTCACGTGGGTCTTGGATGACGTATTTCAATCATTTACCTACCCCCTCCCCACGAACGCCTGGATGGCAGTTTGACTGGTGTTTCTCCAGCCTTGACACCAAACCATGTGTAATGTCACGGACGGTTGTCGGGTCTTCATTCGGGGTCGGGATCAGAACCGGAGGTTGTGTTCTCACATTCGTGAGCAGGTGTGCTTAGCCGCGATCGCTCACGCGAAACAGGGGAGTCGAATTAAGTGGCGGCACATGAAAACTAATCGATGATCGGATGCACAAAGTCCATGATCCAATGAAATCCGCTGAGTAAGGATTGGTTCATTCGCCCTTCGGATGGAGGTCAGCTATGCACGGATGCGGATGAGTCTAGTCTCGTCTAATCCTTGAACGACATCGCGTTGATCGTAACTGACTGAACAACAGTATTCCACGGGCAGCCACCAATTGGTAGCTTGAAATCAGAGTCAGCTTGTTCAAGAATCAGCTAAGTGCGAGTCTGAGACACTATCAAGATGACATTGGTCACCAAGTAGGCGAATCATCGGTCAACAGACTTCGGAACAAGTTCACGCGATGCTTCGAAATGAAGCTTGAGAAACTGTGACGTGTGCGTGTGTGTGAGGCCTAAACTGATACAGGTTTCTGGGCGAGTAGACAACACGATGAAGATGTCAATACGTACCTGACGGGCTTCGCTGGACCATTTTGCGTTGCTGGCTGGCTTGTGTGGCCACTTTCGAAAATAGCAATCGACTTTTGAAGTTCGGTTGATACCTTGAATTTAGAAAATGCTGTGGGCTGGGGGGTGGATAAGAGGTTGTTAGGCAGGGTCATGGTAACATCTGTTAATCATTACGACACATCAAATAGGTGTCTGAGAACGCTAAAATTAGCCATTTTAGTGATCAGAAAGAGGAAGGAATCGGATCACGCGTCATACAACATACAACGTGGCTTCCAGATAGCTCATAAGGTGAGAAAAATTTCGAGCGGAACAACACGTGATTAGCGCTAGAAGCTCCAGTAACTTCGATCTCGTCCACCTCCATATTAAAAACGTTGTCGGGAGCGCTGAAAGTACAGTACACCGCACAAAACGTTTCGGTAAAAACGTTCTGAATCGAAGGTCCGGAACATCCATGGCAAATGGATTGGGTTCACCGATCACAGCATAATCGAGTGCTCCATCGCCATCTTGTTGAATGGTTCACAAATTTGTAATGTCCCGTTTTTCTATGAGGTCAAAGCTTTCGAAGAAGCATACTGAGCAATCGAGTGCGTCTCCCCGAATGGACAAGGTGTATCTATCTAGACAAGCGGGAAACTTATCGAAAAAGCACGAGAACTGTCTTGTCTACGTTGTAAATTTTTAGGATGCTATGATAAACTCCAGCAGTTTCTCTACAAACATTTTCATTTGCACAGGAATTTGGTTTTAGATGGGAGATTCAACTGGCAGATGAGGTGAATGCACGAATCTGCAAGGGTCGGGCCGCATTTGCTAACTTGCTAAGGATTCACTGACACCAACGAACACGAGCTGTGGTTCTGAAACAACGATTGTCGAACACCTGAAGACGTCTCAGTTCCGCGGCTCGAATAGGCCAAGTCTCACAGCCATACTACAAAACAGCCCGTACTGTAGCTTGATACACACGTCCCTTCAGATTCAGGGATAAGCCATTCTGACGCCATAGGTGTCTCAAGTTAGCAAACGCGACCCGATCATTGCAGATTCGTGCATTCACCTCATCTGTCACACTACAATCAGAACCAATACAACTTCCAAGATGTGAAAAACGCTCCAGAACTTCGAGTGCTTCCGCCCTGGATTGTAAGTGGCGTGTTCAGTGACTGCACATCCACAAGCATGACCTTACACTTTGTGGGTGCGAAGTGAATACCAAAGGACGGGATGAATTTGGAGACATTTAGCGAAAGTTAAAACACCAAACATTGTGCGCATTATGAATGCCATTTATCCTATGAACTCATGCTTTGGGTTGGGTAAAGTTGGAAGGGAAAAACCCTTTGAAGCGTTAGACCGACCCGGCCGCATCTAAAATTGAGTCGGAGGGAACTTACTCGGTTAACCGGAGGGGTGATATCCAACGGCAAATAGCTGGGTTTGGGTGGAGTGGTCGGAGGGACGGGAGGGGAGGGATCTGATGCGAGTGGGGAGGGGCGTGAAGGCGCGGTGGGACTGATCCCGTTAGGTAAGCTGGGGTCCTTGTTCAAACTAGATAAAGGAAGCAGAAAGAAGCGGTTAGGATTGACATGACCGGAATTAGAGTGTTTTGCTTGCACAGCTTGAAATGTACTGGGTAAGAACAATGAATGTGCACTAACACACTGACAGAACTGATGGCATCCCACAGTGCCCAGTTGCTCCACACGGTGAAACCAGAATATTGGAAAACAGTACTACGTTATTTTGTTTGGCCGTGGGCCACATAAACATGTCACTATCAACGGCACCGGCGAAGAGGTGGGCTGAGGTTTCAGACACGGAGTTCAGCTGTGTTCTTTGGGTAACTCACTGTTATTCTGAACATGTCACAACGGCACCGGCGAAGAGGTGGGCTGAGGTTTCAGACACGGAGTTCAGCTGTGTTCTTTGGGTAACTCACTGTTATTCTGTCACGCCAAACTGCAAAGAGGATCAAACATATGCTTCAATCGGCCATTCGAATTCAAAGCTACCGTGCCGCTTAAGGTCATCTCACTGACCCACAGAAAGTCAATACAGTGCCACGCCACCCACATCTTGGATGTTGCAGAGGTGTTCCTTCATCGCTCAACAACATAAGAACTCCAGTTAGTTCCGCTTCTGGAGTGAACCGATTGGACTGGGGTCACCACGCCTAATCACGTTTGCTGAACGAAACGATTGACGGTCAGTGTGGGGTATCAACTGGAAGACGTTGAAGAAACATACGACGGGTTGTTGACACACAGAAACCCACCTCTAATGTGATAACGATAGTCGTGAAGCGTTTCGGTGTTCAGCTGCCATGCCACTCGAAGGAATGCAGAAAACCGTCCAGCTGTAGAACCCTTTCGGTGCCTAACTGCCATGCCACCCGAAGGAAGCATGAGGGCTGGGATACTGCCAGGTTGCCCAAGCCTAGACAGGGGAAGTCGATAGGTAGAGGTCGGGTTCGAACCACGGACCTTTCGGTGAGTAAATTCGCACTCTAACCATTTGGGCCGTTTCGCCCAAAGGTGTCCGGTAGCTCAAGACTAGACAGCAGTAGTCAAGATGTCGGGTTTGGGTTCGAACCACGAACCACCTCTAATCGGAAAGCACTTGGATGACTGGAAAGGCTCCAGCGACCCGACAACATGAAGTGAGTTAATTGCATGGATGATGGAAAGGCTCCAGAGACCCGACAAAAAAAAAGGAGTTAATTGCAAATTGAGATAAATATAGACAAACGGATGAATGGCACCTACAAACGTAGAGTGGAATCCAGAGTATGTATTCAGCTCGAGAGAGTGTGTCATGGTTAGGGCGCGAACTTACTGATCAGAAGGCCCATGTTTCGAACCCAGCCCCTACAACTCGACTGCTCTTTTCTAGGCTTGGACAACCTGGCAGAATCTATCCTCGTGCTTCCTTCGGATAGCATGACAGCTGCGCACTGCTGAAACTGGACAATTCGGTCGGGTTGATAGCCAAGCCCCGCAGCGCTGAATAGCTTCCGACAATGAGATGTATGAAAACCGGCCATTATGCAAAAACTTTTGCCGGTCAGTAAATTCACGTTTAACACTGTATAGAGATGATGTCCGCCGTCACATGAGGGGTAAACCTGAGGCCAGTGAATCAAACAGAAGGCGTTCAGCTGTAGCACCTTTCCGGTGCCTAGCTGCCATGCCAGCCGAAGGAAGCACGAGGGCTGGGATACTACCAGGTTGCCCAAGTCTAGACAGGGGAAGTCGAGTGGCAGAGGTCGGATTCGAACCACGGACCTTCCGGTCAGCAAATTTGCGCTCTAAACACTTGGGTCATCTCGTCCCATTCGAATCCGTCGACCGGTTAGCTCTTTTCAACAGGCTTGAGAAACAAGGTACGCCTCGGAAGTTTGTGGATATCATGTGCTATTTGTATTCACATACTTGTGGATGTGCATGGAGGGGATCTCCAAAAGCATTCCTACAAACATTAGTGCCCGACAAAGATTTTCCCTTTCGCCATCATTGTTTAATTCCGTCAGTGATGGAATAATGAGGCGAACCAGGAGGGTCCCCCAAAACCCCGGTGTTTCCGGGGTGAGGACCTTGTCGAACTCGAATATACCGAAAACATAGTTCCCAGTTATTAAAAAGAGCAGGGAGCACAAGCATTCCTAGAAAAGCTGACCGAGGTCTTCCATGTGCATCGCGCCCACAAAGTGCAAAGTCAAGTTGCCTGATGTACGGTCTTTGAACATGCCACTGAGAATCCAAGAATACTGGAAGTTGTGGAACGCTCTGCGTACCTCTGACGCTGCGTGACAGACGATTCACGGATCTCAAAGACTAGACGCCTATATCAAACAACAATGCGGACTGAATTGCTGCAGGGATGCGAGACTCCGGATGGAGGATCTGAGGTATCTTCAGATTGTGACTACCAATATCTCGGAGCAATTGCTAAAACTGGTTGGGACCAGCGAATTCGGAATGTGATCAGGAGACGGGCGTTTTGTGGAGCAGAGGATGCTCCGCTGAAACAATCCACTAAGCATTGTAAACTAAAGTGGCCGGACCATGTGTTACGCATGCCGAGTTACCATCTGCCGAGAAGACTGCCGAAATCAGAGTCGCGGGAACTTAGAAGTGGACAGAATTTAACATGACCGGACCAGACGAGGGACGCTACAAAAAGTTTGGGCGTATTTTGTACTGTTCGTCTTCCAGGATGAGATCCACGTGACCTTCAATGTGAACAATGAGGCGGCGAATCGATGTCAGTGGTATTCACGCTGTCTGCTGACATCAGGATGTTCTGACTGTGTTGGGGATGTAAGCATCTTGACTGCTTGGTCCCTACCTCAAGTTCTCTCTTCATTCCAACCAACTGGCATAGTGGCACAGCTGTAAAGCACCAGCGTTTTCACCTGGTGTTGCAGTCGACAATGCTGAAGGCTGATGACACACCCAGCTGAATTTCTGATATCGCCCAACTGAATGTGCTGCACAAAATCTGCCTCATGTTCCAGCTGAGACGATGTTCACTATATTGACGCGTGATTTTTTTTAAAAATCGACAAAAACTCCGGACAGCCTACTATCGGTTTCACCTTTCTTGGAGCTCAGCAAATAAGCCTCCAGCAACTTTATCACCTAAACGTACAATCAAGTGTACGTAACTGACAAAACTTTGAAGATACCGTTGCACTTACTAGACATTCAGATGAATCTATGGTTTGTCATATTCTTCAACTGAATGTGCCGCAGTTGAAGAACATCGTGAAAAACTGCCCTGCAACCCGAAGGAAGCACGAGGGCTGGGATACTCTGCCAGGTCGCCCAAGCCTAGACAGGGGAAGTCGAGAGGCAGAGGTCGGGTTCGATGCACGAACCTTCCGGTCGGTAAATTCGCGCTCCATCCACTGGGCCATCTGCCCCCAAGAACATCACAAACGAGAGATTTCGGTGAACATCAGTAAAGTCTTCCGTTAGCACCAAACTGATTTGCGGATGAGTGTTTCCCGCAACATACGTACAATACGGTGCCCAAACATGAAATGGAGGGTCACGACAGTGGGCTTTTTATCGACCTTATAAGTATCATGGATGCTTCAATTGATTGTGTTTCACCAAAACTGTGCGTTTCGTACGATTCTGCTTGTTGCCAATTATGAGAATCATATTGCAAGTAGACTCATACATAGGACATTGAATATTTGACTCATTGAGTCATTGGATGGTCAGTTGAAACATGGGACATGTTAGACCCCTCCCCCTGAGACGCGAACTTCTTCGAGAAAAACCACCCTAGCGGTTTCGCCCATCGGGGGATAATATCACTGTATAGTAATAATAGTTCAGGTATTACGCCTTTTTCAGTGCCTAGCTGTCATGTTAGCAATGGAGGCTGAGAGAGTGCTAGATTGCCCAAGCCTACACAGGAGTAGTCGAGATGCAGAGGTTGTGTTCGAACCACGCACCTTTCAGTTAGTAAGTTCGCGTCCTAACCACTGAGATATCTCGGACTCTCCATCCAGCTGACCAGCAAGCATTAGGGAGTGGGAAAGTCCTAAATATTTCGCCCGTTCCGTGCTTGCTGGTTCACACAGAAAACTGTCCAACCTTCGTGGGCTTCTAAATGGGAACTTCTATTGATCAGTATTTAGGATAAACGATCCACCTTTACGTACGAAGCTTCCATCGCAAGCTCCAGCTGGAAACACAACAGTTAGTTTTGTTATAGATTGGAACAATTTCGTGACAAGTTGGTCAGGATATCGTGTGGCCAGTTGCAGGTCAGAACGAGGGTCCCCACGGAGAGGAGTGTGTCAATCATCTACACTGGTGACAAACACCACGAGGGACAACGGCTGACCGGACGCACGATTGTGGAGGCATGCAACATGAACGGAGGCAAGAGACTAAACAATGTCACTTCAGACAATGTATCAACCGGGGGTATTACATCGTGTGTGACAAACGCACATGTGTGTACGTAGGTGTGCATGTAGTGGACGATCGATTGATGCTATGTGGACGACGGGTGAATCACCCGTCGCGACAGCGAAAAAAGACAGTAAAGCTCGATGGAGATGAACAATCAGCGCCCATCGAAAGGCAGTTCTGTGTAGCTCGGAAGCAACAACAATGGAAAGGGAATGGGCGATGTTGACATCTTCTTCGTTATTGTAGCAACATGAAACGATCGGATGGAACAAGCTGTCGGTTGCTCGACCCCACAAAGTGTGTGCGAATCGGGTCGGGTTGGAATACAAATGGATTTGAAGCCGACTGCGACAAACGCCTTTTTCTTCAAAGACTCGGACAAGCGGGGACCCCAAGAATAAAGCGAGAACCAACACGGAAAACCGTCTTGAGGCATCGGGCTGCACATCCAACAGTCTGTTGCTGACCTGCACAACAAATGTCACGCCGAATCCGTAAAAATGTTCAAACCCCCCAACATTCGTTGTGAGATGGCTCAAGTGGTTAGGGCGCGAATTTACCAACTGGAAGGTCTGTGGTTCGAACCCGACCTCTGCCTCTCGACTTCCCCTGTCTAGCTTAGGGCAACCTGGCAGTATCCTAGCTCTCGTGCCTCCTTCGGGAAGCATAGCAGCTAGGCACTGGAAGAGTATTACAGCTGAGTGAGAGACATTCATTTTGATACCGCAAGCGTGCGCCTGCTTGACATGTTGGGAGCAATTTAGAATGTACAATGTGTGATGGATTAGGGAGGCGTATGGTTAAACCGTTCATAAGCATAGACCACTGCTGAGAAATTCTCGTTTACTCATCTTAGCGATGAAATGAAATAACGAAGAGGGGTCTTGACGTTTCACTGGTTGCACAAGGTGTACAGCTTTACACCTAACACAGATTTTCAGTTCTATATGGAAAACGGAATTCGTTTCCCACCTGACGGGTACTTCAACTCCGGAAAAAGGGACAACTACGATGGCATCAGTCTATAAGTTGACATTAAGGATGCTTCTGCTCGAGTCGGATTTCCGCCGACGGACACGCGGCTTTATCAAAAAGGCTTCTATTCAAGACGAGGTTCGTCCGATCGAATTTTTACCCTGCATTCAAGGATTCAGCACTGCTTTCAGTCCCAAAGACTTAATGCTACAGGTTACAAGAACCTTTGAGCTGCCCCCATTGACCGCAGTGTCTGGGATGTCATCGGATGTTAGTTGAAGATTCCTCCACTTAGGCACTCTTGCACGAAGCTTGAGTTCGTATACATGGCGAGAAGTCACGCGACGTTGACCGTCAGGCAGGAGTACGGCAGCAATTGCTGCAGCACGGCAGATTCACGGGACTCAGTCTGTCCATCTGCAAGAGTTTGCATTAATAGAGCAAAGCAGATTTCACCAAGACAGCTGTTGTCAAAACAGCGCTGTTCTGACAAAAAATAACTCTATCAAGAGACGCTTCACTCCGCAACCACGCTTCCAACATGACTAATTGGTGCAGCTTAGCACTACCGATTCAATCACCGCGGACAGCGGACAAGCGAAAGATCTTAATTTATTTTGGGTCGAAGCAAGTATCAGATTATCCCATGGGGGAACAAATCTCATAAAAACGAGGCATCAAAAGCAAGAAGTAAAGTGTCACATAAACATATCGATTGAGACAATCAGCTGGGATACACAAATGATTCAAACAAAACGCACACCAATAGAAGCCATGTCAAAGATGATGAAAGCCGAAAAGTATCAATTTTCAAGAAATCAACTGCTTCGAACCAGAGCGAACATCACTCAGCTGTACGTGTGCCAAGCATAGTCACCACGTCGTACCAAGTTTCCTCTGCAGTGTCCGGAGGCCAGTCGATCTTAATAACCGAACATCACGTCGATTGGACGAATGTGTCAGGTGCACGCCATGGGCTAAACGTGGGCATGTCTTGATTGGTCGGAGTGTCAGCCAATCGGGATCGAGAATCTATAACTCAGCACTTGCCGCCTCTCACGAAGATTCTAGCACGACCGTGTGGATAACCATATAAATACAGTTGTACTGATCTTCATTTGTCTCCATAAACGCCTGTCTCAACCTATGCCATAGTGCGCGCAGCTGGTAGCCGAGGACCGACACCGAAATTGCACCACCGTCAACAGTATACCCGTGTCGAAACACTTGGTCTGCATAATCTGTCTCAATCAAGTTGGTCTCAAAGGATTGGTTCGCTCTTAGGGAAACATTATCAAAACAAAACTTTCCTTGCAGCGAAACCCTCACTAAAGCCATCACTCGACTGTGCACATCAATCGCAACGGAAAGGCTCATCACCCCCTCCAAATATGACATACTTTGTTCTTCGGAGTGGTAATAAACGTAAGGTTATAGTAGTGAGTGCACTAGTAACAGAAATCTAAGGCTCTCAAAGCTGGCCTTTCTCGATTGTTCTTTTACCAACCGGGGAAGGCAGTATGCGTGCATTTGTAGACGCAGATCCCCAAAACGAGCAACTTACGACCTTGGTGTTTCTCCATTCCGTCGATTGTTCCCAACCGGGGAAGGCAGTATGCGTGCATTTGTAGACGCAGATCCCCAAAACGAGCAACTTACGACCTTGGTGTTTCTCCATTCCGCCTCATGATAAGTTTTCTTACGGTACACAGGTCCTGTCGCTCTTTGTCTGACTGACTTGAGTTGCCGGGTGATGAATACAGTCAAAGAGTCCAGTACTTCAGCGTGTTCACCTTATTTCCTAGCTATCGTATTTCCATCCGGATTGGAAAGGCCAGTGCAGCTTTTGTGAACCTACGTCACCTGCGGCGCAGGCGTGACATCAACTTCTCTGTCAAGGGTCGAGTTTACAATGCTGTGGTGCGCTCCATATTACTATATGGATTAGAAACCTGGCCGCTGCGCGCTGAGGATGTCAAAAGACTTTCAGTGTTTGAAGAGCGATGTCTTCGGAGCATAGCCCGAATCTGGTGGGAACACCGGATCAGCAATTCCGAAGTACATCGAATGGTATTCGGGAGAAATAGCTCACCGTCGATAGATGAACTGATCACACTGCATAGGTTGCGCTGGTTTGGCCACGTGTTGCGTATGCCAGTCGACCGACTTCCTCGAAGGGCTCTCTTCACACAACCACGTGAAGGGTGGAGGAGAGCCAGAGGCGGTCAAACGATTACTTGGCAGCGAAGTATGAAAGTCAGTACCAGCAAACTCATCTGCGCTGGTCATTGCCTTCTTCCTGGATGGGGACCCCGAGACGGACCATGTCAATGGTTAGAGACATTATCAGACATGGCCCAGTCGTACCCTCAATGGCGCTCGTGCATCCAAGCTATTGCATTCAACGCGTAGCTCCCTTCCCAATCCCCCCACTTGACAGCCCACTAACAGTGCCAGATTTTAACACCCGCCTGCAATGGGCAGCTACCTACTCCTCCTTCCCAAATCATCAGTGAACGAAACTGCGGCAGCTACAACCAGTGTACGACGAGTACGCGGTTATTACAGGTGACAATGATGATGATGACTAGCTATCATGGATGGTCCCGTGGATATATCAAGCCGGCGAGGAACTACGGTATTGTGTGACTAGAAAATCACGGTTAGAACAAATAACGATTGTTTTCAATTGGCTCCATTCTGCTGCACAGCGGGCGTTAGACACGAAGGCTGTGAAGTTACCGAAACCTAGCTAGAAGTTATCTAATTGTCAGGATCAAGTTGTTATCATGGATGGCTCCGTGGATATATCAAACCGGCGAGGAACTACGGTATTGTGTGACTCGAAAATCACGGTTAGAACAAATAACGATCGTTTCCAATTGGCTCCATTCGGCTGCACAGCGGGCGTTAGACACGAAGGCTGTGAAGTTACCGAAACCTAGCTAGAAGTTATCTAATTGTCAGGATCAAGTTCGGAACACGGTGCCCTCGCGCCTTAATCGATGAGCTATCTCGAGCTCAGCAGTCGTGGCACGTTGCGAACCCAGGCTATCAGTGTTATCTGTTGCGGTAGAGATTGCCTAAACTGGTCTGGATGTCGATGGCAGGATGGCACTTTCCTACTTTCTCGCTTTTCAAACAAGGGGATCTCAAAACGAGCGGTATCATGGTAAGGTACCGCTGTCCTGACCTCTGTTCTTTGAGCATCGGGGTTGCACCGAGCAGCACAGAGAAATAGGGCGGTGAGAAGTACACGGTGAACGCCAGCATGACGCCTACATTTGTCTTGGTGTTCCACTTGTTTTCACAGAGCGCAGCTGCTTCATGGTATCTCTAACCTAAAGCAAAACCTCGACTGTTTGATTTAGTTCAGTAAGAGAGAAAAGGGAATCACGAGTGGATGGCGTCTCCTAAAACAGAGTCACCAATCAACCCTTGGGAGGCCAAGCTGAACTCGACATAGTTCAGGTGTTGAGGCGCGAACCCGAAGGTGCGTGGTTCGAACCCGAGGCCTACATTTCCACTGGTCATGTCTACACTTGGGCAACCTGACAGCATCTCAGCCGCCGTGCCTCCTTCCGGTGGCATGGCGGCTAGACACTCAAAAGGGTGATACAACTGAACGATTATTTATTTATTACTAGATGTAATTAAAGACAAGGTCACGGGTGCAGTCGGTAAGTTCTCCGGTCAACTATTGGAGATCGACCAGACTGTGTGCCAAACGTGGACTCACTTTTTTGTCCCCGTTGTCTGCGCTTTGGCAAAGTTGGCCTGGTGAGCACGGAGGGTGGAAAGAGGAGGGGAACCGGGAAGAGTTCTGAAAGGATGGAAATGAAATGGATGTTTTGAAACGAAATGCTTCCGGTTGAAAACCAAAGGATCACCAGCAGTGAGATTGCATTACACTCTGGTTAGATGAAGCATCACCGGACAAAAACCGGGAGATGAAGATGCATGTACAAACGTCAAGCTATCGGAACGGTACCATCCAATACTAACGGTCTACCAGTGTAACAGTGATGCTACTGATGGAGAGGCATACGAGTAGTATGTTTTCTCGTAAATCCGCTTTGCGCCTCCTCAAAAGGAAGATCTATTGCGGAATTTGTGGATTTGTAGCATTTGCTTGGATTTGAGCAACAGTCAATGAATAGCCAGGAAGTTTTAAGACGGGGACTGCGATTCACACCACACCACAGAGCCGAGGCGATGGAAAGTACTAAGCATCACAGCGTGAATAGAATAGAGGGTGGAGCTAGCGAGCGTATGGAAAACGGTCTTAGATAAGCCGAGTTGACACGTGACGGTGTGGTTGTCAATCCACTTAGGATCATTAGAGAAAAACCGGGGAGTGGGGGTGGAAACCCCAACCGACCAAAGGTCATAGCATCCCTCTTATACAACTATCTTAGCACTAGCTCACCCACACAGACTGACGGAAGGTTCGAACGAAGTTCAAGAGGAACCATCAAATGAACCGAACCAGAAGAACTAGACCCTAGACTGGACCCAAACACATGCAGGTTTCCCCACCGACCCAACACTTGTTCAACCACTCTAACACACTAAAATCCCTCGGCCGACACCCAACAGAGATTTAGCTTGACTTAGCTGATTGGTTCTCATTCCGCCTCAAATCTCGACCAACCACGGAACCTAGTAACTTGGCCTGACGAAGTTTTTGTGTCAAAAGCGAAACGTACCCCAGCAATAAATCTGCCGATTGTCATCAAAGTTTTTCGAAAAATATCCAGAAAAGTTCAGAAAGACGCGTTCAAAGAGAAGATGGGTATTCAGTTTTTGTAAACAAGATGCATGTGAGAGTTTTGCTTCCCTATCCAATAGTCTGTAACTGTTCAGTTGAAATTTTCTAATAAATAACTCCACAGTGAAGGCCTTCTTCTTTTCATTAGTGTGGTTATTCTAAACCATGGATTCCGAGTGATTGTATTGCTAATTTACGTATAATCATAGAAAATGCTGATACCTGTGCGATTCATGGTTGTTCGTGGGTGCCCAGATCCGGACCAGAGAAAGCGTTCAGCTGTAACATCCTTCCGGTGCCTAGCTGCCAAGCTATCCGAAGGAAGCGCGAGGGCTGGGATACTGCCAGGTTCCCCAAGCCCAGACAGGGGAAGTCGAGAGGCAGAGGTCGGGTTCGAACCACGGATCTTGTGGTCAGTAAATTCAGGCTCTAACCACTTGAGCCATCTCGCCCAGGGTCAGGGAACGGCTGGTTCAAAGTGAAACCCAACGGCAGGAACTTCGGAGCAGCCTATATCTTTAGGGAGAAACTTGCCACACATGTTCGAACTCTCAGCGTGGAGGACTAGGAGACTTTGTTAGCCAGACCTCTACATACTGAGTGACTTGGTAACTTCTAATGCAAAAGCACCACCAGTCACATCGCGGTGAGGTCCGGTCTCTTCTTGTAACTACTAGCCTAATCGTGCTTTTCCTCTCCGCCGCCGTGTCAGAACGACTAAGAAACACCGAACGTGTAAGGACGCACAAGCAAACGCCAGTTTTATCACGGAAATTTTGAAATCTGTTCACGCCAAAAATAACCCGTGGAGAAAGCAGTGACCACATTTTTAGGGGGCGGACCAGGCAGGTTTGTAATCTCAGATGAGGCATCAAAAAAGAGAACAGACAAGTCATTTGGTTAGAGGAGACCCCAGACAAAGCACCATGCTACACCCGCTTTGACAAAACGCCATCAGATGAGAAAGGTGCGTAGGATCGGAGCAACCATCAGCCGATCAGCAATCCAATCATCCGGTTCACTTGGCTTACTGAACGTTTGCGTCGCTCAAATAACAACGTAACGGAGGGGTATGACGGAAGATCGAACAGTAAACCGGGGAGGGCGATGGAGTACTACTACTAGTCTGGTGCGGGTGGCTGTTGTGCGCGGAATAATGTGTACTGCTGAAAGTAAACGGAGAGAATGGAAAAGTACACGGAAGCCAAGATCAGAGCTAGAAGAGAGTACGGTGTCTAGCCCTTAGATCGGAAAGAGGGAGCAATCCACCAAGCACATGCTGAGTAAACGGAATAGAGCAGAAGCACTAGAGTAGACTAAATGCGGAAGGCTATGGTGTCTGTGGCTTGGCCATGTACGAAGTATGCCACGACCTCGTCTATCAACAGCCTTGTTTCCCAAGCCAAAACCAGACTAAGGACGTGTGACCACGTAGGTGGGGACGATATAGCTCAGTGGTTACTGGTTACTGATCAAAAGGTCCCTGGTTCGAACCCGACCTCTGCCGCATCTCGACTTCCCCTGTCTAGGCTTGGGCAACCTGGAGGTATTTCCAGCCCTGTGCCTCCCTCCGGTGGCATGGCAGTTGGGCACCGAAAGAATACTAGGTAGGTGAGGGCGGAAAAGGTTTCGAAAAAAAAGTTTGAATATCATCGGTTATTATCCGCCTTGAAAAAGTACTCCACTAGTTAGCTTCCGTACCTGGCTGAAGAAGCTGAGAGATATGGCAGGTAAACTGGAGTCTGTGGCAATTTCTGAGCAATAGAGATCAGGTACTTCGAGTGTGTGTGACGATCCGTCCGTCTTCCACCTCCTGCCTCTTTATAGGATAGAACATTCGTCGAATAAACGAGAGTGAATCAACGATCATCAGCAGAAATCGCGTACCAGTTGTACACTGATTATAACTGTCACAGCAAACGTATGTATCACATCGATACATGCATCACGATATCTCGAATATCGTAGCAAGTGAAACACGAGGCGGCCTGCTGCAGCACATTCCGTTGCTTAAAAATAAGATGAACGAGAGATTCAGCTGGGTTCCAGGCAAGTCTCTCGCAAAACTAAATTTGTTTAAAAATGAGTGTATTTTGCCACAGAACCATTCAGATGTAACACCCGTTCGGTGCATAGATGCCATTTCACCCAAAGGAAGCAGGAGGGTTGGGATACTGCCAGGTTGCCCAAGCCTACACAGAGGGGAAGTCGAGAGGCAGAGGTCGGGTCCGAACTACGGACCTTCCGGTCAGTAAATCCGCGCTCTAACCACCTGAGCCATCTCGCCCTCCACCTATAATCGGATGTTCCTAAGCTGAGTAAGACAGGCTGCGGAGAGGAACAAAGCAATTTTATGGAGTTTCCTGGAAGGGTGTACGCCAACGGTGTTAAACACCGTTATCCGCGGGATCCACTAGCAAATGGAAGTAACCTTGAGAAGGAAGATGAACAGCATTCACATAAATGCTGTCTGTTAGGACACCTAACCCACCACGTCCATACATACTCAGCGAACACTACGAGGAGCCCTGCAGGAATGAACCACCAACCTATTTCTCGGTTAATTGCAGAGAGTTGCTGGGCTTGTAGAGTTTCGTGTTCACACCGCTACTATTCGGATAGTTTAGAAATCGTTCAGCTGTAGCACCCTTCCGGTGCCTAGCTGCCATGCCACCCGAAGGAAGCATGAGGGCTAGGATACTACCAGGTTGCCCAAGCCTAGACAGGAGAAGTCGAGTGGCTGAGGTCGTGTTCGAACCACAGACCATTCGGTCAATAAATTCGCGCTCTAACCACTTGATCTATCTCGAATAGTTTCCCTCATCTGCATCGAACCCCACCGTAAGGGAGCTCTATGAATAACGCACCAAAATCTGGATTCTCAACGCAACGATCCAACCGGCCCTGCGAGACGGCCTCTATGAGCTAGGGGTCTTGGTCACTGGTGTCCAGCGTGAGGTCAGCAATCACCGTCCAGGAATGGCGTCCGGTGATGAGATCCGGAAAGGTTGTCATGACCTACGACTGTGTCTTCCATGGTTTGGAATATGGCCCGCGGGAACGACATCGAAATCACGGGAAAAAAACCTGGCCACTAAATGATGTCAAGAATGGCGTCGTTGTCTCTGATGGCAACTGAAAAACGTGATTGAGTGCGGTCAAAAGCGACAGGGAATGGTGCTCTACGGAGTCCGTCACTGGAGCCGACATCGGATCGCATACATCCGAAACATTTTTCTAGCCGGCTAGGCCTATCTCAGGAGGTAGTATTCCTAAAGTAGAGAAGGTCAAAAAACCTCACTTCCTTGGGCTACTTTTCCGAGCTCGGCCATTAGGACGCGAAGCTGATGATTGAAAAGTTCACAGCATTAATCCAGCCCTAACTTTAGTTGGCTTGGACAAACGGGGGCTTCCTCTACATATTGTTCTGCAGCATTCTTTTTGTTAACGTTCGCATCACTTTCCATCTCTAACTTGATTATTTGATAAGAGGAATCTAAGATATTTGAAGAACTCAGCCATTTCAACGACGGAGCCTCCTAATTTCATTTATTCAGCTGTAGGAGCCTTTCGGTGCCTAACTGTCATGCCACACGAAGGAAGCCCGAAGGCTGGGATCATGCAAGGTAGCCCAAGCCTAGATAGGGAAGTCGAGAGGAAGAGGTAGGGTTCGAACCACAGACCTTCCTGTCAGTAACTACTGAGCCATCTCGCCCCCGAGCATCCTAATATAAGTGATATTCCTGGGCTGGTCGAAAGGGTTGAGGATACATTCCAGAATAATGGAATGAGAGACACGCGTAAGAGAGGATGGCCCGACCATTTCATTGGGGGGCGAGATGGACCAAGAGGTTAGAGCGCGAATTTGCTGATCTGAAGGTCCGTGGTTCGAATCCGACCTCTGCCTCTCGACCTCCCCTGTCTAGGCTTGGGCGACCTGGCAGTATCCCAGACCTCGCGCTTCCTTCGGATGGCATGGCAGCTAGGCACCGAAAGGGTGCTAGCTGAAAGATTTTTTCCAGTTCATTGATGTTAGATGGTTCTGGTTGTCC